GTGTCTATTGGTCTAGATTGACTGATTTGACCCTGGATATATGAACCCCGAGATTTCGATGGATTCCAGCACATCTGATGCAAATAAACACACCAATATTCCAGGAAGCCCATTGGGACCCCGGGTCCGCAGGTGGACTCACCCAGAGAGCGGCGGCCGGGCAACAGCTGGAAGTGGCAGCGCCCTTAGTTGAAATCTTAATAGAAGTTTATTGCCAGGCCTTTATTCCATAGTCCCACTGGATGGACTCAAACTGCTCATCTTTAAGTTCACAGTTGAAGGCAAACTGTGCCACCTACAAACTTTCTTATAATGTGCAAAGCTGTAAAATAGCTCAGATATATTGAAAAATTGAGGTAATTTGGAAGGGTGTACTTGAGAAAACTTCCATGTAGAAGAGTTTTCTATTTTATCCTCAATACCTATTGACATAAAACCTTTCTACTTTTCTCATTATTCAGTGTCCGTCTCTTCAGTGTACAGTCTAAGAAGTAGACTTGGTCATACCTTACACTTGCCACAGGTAAGGAACAGACAACTTCAATATCTTTCTACTCCTGAGCAATTAGCCAATTATTGTCAAGTTGATTCTGATTTATGATGACCCCATGTGTGTCAGAGTAGAACTGTGCTGCATAGAATTAGCAATGCCTTGTTTGGGGGTTGTGGTTATTGTTTTTAATATGTCACCATACTTTTCTTCCCAAACACCTCTATTTGGGCTCAAGACTCACTCCAACCTTTTGCTTAGCAGCCAACACATTAGTCATCTGCACAACTCAGGGAACACTTTGGGAGTTTGAAAAGGCTGGAATTGAGCAGGTTAGGCATGCCGCAATTGCAGATCCTGTGCCTCCTTCATTCAATCTCTCTGCCTCCCCTACTTTTCACAGTTGCAGCCATTCATAGCCTTTTCTTATCAGATACGTATCGGCCAAGCTAAGGCTACGGAGGCCTGGTGGCATAGTGGTTAGCATTCAGCTGCTAACCACAAGGTAGTTCGAAACCACCAGCTGCTCTGCAGGAGAAAGGAAGCTTATCGTGGTTTAATACATAGTCTTCTGTTGCGTTCCCTTTCTCTCCAGTTACTCTGTGTCTGATTAATTAATGATGTGTGAAAATACCAGTAACATAGTTTATATGTATCATTTTATTTAATGATTCCTACAAACAACCTTCTGTGAACAGTCTAATCTTTTAATATATGAGGATCTGAGATTCAGAGATTAAGTGATTTGCCCAAGATAAAAAAACTAATAAATTTAAGGTCAAATATAGAATGGGTTAAGCATAAGGCCTACCGCAAGAAATTGGCAGTCCATTTCTGATAGAATGCACACCTCTAGACTAGACAAAGCATTTTTTTCTTCCAGCACAGTGCCTGTGCGAGTACTCAAGAGATGGCTCCGAATTCGGTTACCAAGATCATTTCCAGAATCACAGTTTCAAAGAAACTATATTCATTACATTTCTGTTGTGTCAATGCAATATGGATCCCAGAGTCAGAGTCTGGTCTTTTTGTCCCACTTAGCCTCGACTCGTACCTGTGCCAACAGGAAGGGAGAGTCAAATTTCATTTATCCAAGACTGGATAAAGTACATAAAGTGAGCCGTGTTAGGAAGCAAAACTCTCCAAATCCCAGCTGTGAAGTTCGTATTCCCTGTCTCTCCTATTTTGTTTTTTTTCGTTTAATTTTTCTTTTGTGGGGAGGAGGGACCAGTAATCCAGGTGAGCGAATATAATTTTGGAAGGTAATAATCTATTAATCTGTATTAATCTATCTAGTTATTTATTTACTTCATACCCATCTACACTAAAGGTGAGTCTCAGTAAACACTGAATTGTTCAGATCACATTTAGATATTTATATTTCATTTAAAATCAAGTTTAAGAAAAATATACCAAAAATGACCTACATATTTATAAGTTCAGAAACTGCCTATTTGAATGCAGAGCAAAAAAGATTAAAGAAAAATAAACAGGCTTAAAAGAATGTAGGGCACTATTCATTTCACTGAGAATAAGAAAAGAGGAATGAGATAAGAGAAAAGAAAAAAGAAATGTTTGTGATGCTAGATGCCATCAAGTCAGTTCTGACCCATAGTGACCCTGTGCGCAACAGAACAAAACACTGTGCCATCCTCACATTCATTCCTATGCCTGAGCCCATTGTTGCAGCCACAATGTCAGTCCATCTCATTGAGAGCCTTCCTTCTTTTCTCTTCCCCTCCACTTTACCATGTATGAAGCCCTTCTCCAGGGAATGATCTCTCCTGATAACAAGTACAGCGTATATAAGATTAAGTATTGCCATCCCTGCCTCTAAGGAGCACACTGGTCTTATTTCTTCCAAGACAGATCAGTTTGTCCTTTTAGCAGTCCGTAGTACTTTTAATATTTTGCTCCAGCACCACAATTCAAATGCATCAATTCTTCTTTGGTCTTTTTTATTCAATATCCAACTTTCACATTCATATGAGGCAATGGAAAATACCGTCGCATGGGTTGGGCACACCTTAGTCCTCAAAGTAGCATCCTTGCCCTTCATTACTCTAAAGAGGTCTTGTGTGGCAGATTTACCCAAGGCAATTAGTCTTTTGATTCTTGACTGCTGCTTCCATAAACATCGATTGTGGATCAAAGAAAGACAAAATCCCTGACAACTTCAACCATATCTCCATTTATCATGATGTTACCTATCGGTCTGGTAGTGAGGATTTTGATCTTTACATTGAGTTGTAATCCATACTGAAGGCTACAGTCCTTGATCTTCATCAGCAAGTGTTTCACGTCCTCCTCACTGTCAGCAAGCAAGGTTGTGTCATCTGCATACTGCAAGTTAATAAACCCTCCTCCAATTTGATACCGCATTCTTCTTCATATAATTCAGCTTCTCTGATTTGCTCAGCATACAGATTGAATAAATAGGGCAAGAGGATACAACGCTGATGCACACCCCCCTTGTTCTGTTCACACAACTGCCTCTTGATCCATGTACAAGTTCTACCTTATTCTTCTCAAGGTTATCAACAGTTTATTATGGTCCACACAATTGAATGCCTTTGCATTGTCGATAAACACAAGTAAACATCTTTCTTGTATTCTCTGCTTTGAGGCAAAATCCATCTGATATCAGCAATGATACCCCTTGTTCCAAGTCCTCTTTTGAATCTGGCCTGAGCCTCTGGCAGTTCTCTGCCAATGTACTGTTGCAACTGTTATAGAACGATCTTCAGCAAAATTTTACTTGCATGCACTATTAATGATGTTGTTTTCAGCAACTTAAACAGAAAGAACTCAAGAAAAAGTATAAACTTAGAGTAGCAATCTTGAAAGATTCAATCCACAAAATAATGAACGATTCAGGAAGTATTAAAAGAAAATGGAAAGAATACACAGGCATTGTACCAAAAGAACGAGTCAACATTCCACCATTTCAGATGGTAGCATATAAGCAAGAGCCAATGGTGCTAAAGGAAGAATTTCAATTTGCACTGAAAGCATTAGCCAAAAACAAGGCTCCAGAAATTTGTGAAATAGCAATTGAAATGTTTCAGTAAGTTGAGGGTGCTTTGGGAGCACTCACTCGTCTATGCCAGGAAAACAGATCCATGTTTGTGCCCATTTCAAAGATATGGACGGGAGCAGGAAAGCAAAGGCTGAGTACCCCCACCAGACCGAAAGCAAGCCAGGACAGATGGTGTAAAACAAGACAGCTTGTACAGGAAGTGAGACCAGATGTTCTGGGTACAAGGGAAACCCCAAAATGTCGACAGACAAATCTCAGAACGACCAGGCCCCAATGGCAAGACCCCACCTACTGGTTGCCATACATTCTGGACATTCTTCACCATCTCTTTAAAAACACGCGTCCCTGGCAGCTGGCGCAACTTCCACGACCTAATTACCTAGGTTGCGGAACCTTGCCTGGGAGCTCCCCCTCTAATAAAGCTACTGCTGTTCCTGCTCTCCCTTGTTCATTCTTTTCTTTGTCTACCTCCTTGTGCCTCAGTTTACCTTACAGGTACCCAAGACAAAACAGAAATAGTTACTGAAATGTCCCAAATTTGACAAAGGCCTATATTCTACAGAGCCCAAGAGGCTTAACAAACTCCAAGAATGGTAAATAAAAAGGTCCACACCAAGACACATCATAATAAAAATATTCAAAGATAAAGAGAAAATCTTGAAATCTGTTAAGAGGAAAAAAAGATCCATTATGTGCCTTGAAACCCTAATACAATTATCAGGTAAAGTGCCATCAGAAACCATAGAATCTAGGAAGTAATGTGATATATATTCAAAATGCTAAGAATGAAGAAAACAATCAGTAAAAACTCATTCTTTCAAAAACAGGCATTTCAAGATTAAAAATGCATAGAATTTATTGCTAACACAACTGCTTTATGAGAAATGTTACGGAAAGTCCTTCAGGCTGCAAGAAAGTGACCCCAGTTGAATCCAAATTTTTAAAAATGTAATTATGTAAATGATAAAAGAGTATGAATGCATATTTCTTCTCTGAATTGATTCTAAAAAGCAGTTGTCGAAGGGTAAGCAAATGTGGCGAAGAAAGCTGATGGTGCCGGGCTAT